CTGGGAGGCACAAGGCCCATCCACCCACTCCGGCGCCCCAAAGCACCCGAAGGCCTCCCTATTCCCCCCCTTCCCCCCTCCACCCTCCGTACCTGTCAGGTCCGCCACCATGGTTTGGAAGTTGAGCAGACTCTCCAACCGGCCCTGGGAGATCTCGGCTTGGTACGGCGTGTAGGCTGTGTACCATCCTGGGTTCTCCAGCATGTTTCGGAGAATCACGCCCGGGGTGGCTGGAGGAAGGGGGGGAGGGAAGGAGGGAGGGAAAGAGGGCAAAGAAAAGCACAGGGATTGGATTGGAAGCTTGTCTTTCAAGAGCCACCCTGACCGCTGCCTTCCTCCCACAACTTCCACGCTCGCCCCGGACCTTCCGGCCCCTCCCTCACTCCCGCCCTCCCTCCCTCCCTACCCGTCTCGTAGTACCCCATCCCGATCAAGGACTTGAGCACCTTGTTTTTGGAGGCGATGGCCTTCAGTTCGGTCAAGGCCTCGCTCTCGCTCTTGGCGGGCTCCAAATCCACCGGCGCTTTCAGACGGATGTGGCCTGGGACGGCCGCCTCGGTCAAGGCCTCTAAGGTCTTGAAGCCGCACAATTTCAGCATTTCCGCCTCTTCCGCCACGGAAGGGCCAATGTGGCGGTGGGCAAATTGGTCCGTGGGCGTGAAAACATCCGCTCCAAGGCGGGCGGAGGTGGAGAGGGAGTGGGAGGGACGGAGGGTCCATGCCTGCCATGCGGGAGGGAGGGAAGTCACAAGTGTAAGATGGCAGAGCCAATCAACAAGAAAATCTCTACCGAGTGCACAGATTCTCCAGGACGAATCTTGAGGTCGAGCGCCACGGTGGATACAGTACGAGCGGATGACTATGTCGACGTAATTCAAGGGGCAGCACAACAGGCAAACCCAAGCAGCTCCGTGGAAATCCCGAACTACCGGCTTCAAAGCAACATGCACCAGGGCCAGAGCAATCATGCACCATCTTTATGCCTGTGCATCGGTAAAGACGGCGGGCACAGAAAAAATGCTTACCTTGGGCAAAGAGCGGCGAGATCCGCTGTCGTTGCTGTGGAGGCCGGTGCTGCTCCGGGCAGATGCAACGACACAAGCCACGTGGCGGCGCACAATGGCCTGTATACCACAAAGAGGGTTTTGTTGGTGAGCTTATCACTGTTGATAGGATGGATCTGGTCTTCGGCGCTTACCTGGTTCAAAACTCGTCGGGCCAACATCCTACACCTGCGTATGCTCTGTTACAGCAAGGAAACGAGCACAGCAGGGTGCTGTCGACGAAAAAGACAGTGAAGATGAAATCTATACGCTCTATAAACATTGGGAAAAAATATGGCATGGGAGCGGTGAGCATGGATATTTCGCAACGACTCAGAAGCCAGGGAGACTGGAATTGTTGCACTCCCAAGCACGTTACTCAAGCATAGCTTCGGCACGACTGACTGGAAGACCGTGCCCGCGGTCATTGTCCACACACGCACAGCCTGTACAGGTGCCCATCGTCCCACACGCCAAGTTCACGGAGCCGCCGCGCGTTGTTTCCTTGCCCATGGAGGAGGGGTCGGTTTTTGTGTGCAGGTGCAGCAGATATGGATCAAAATCTAGCCAAGACACACCGGGGCTTAGCGACGGCTTCCTTCTATGGGATAGCCCAGATCCGCTGAGTTTAAAAGCCGCTTTTAAACCCCCTTTTCCCACGATGCACCCATCCGAACGCTGGTGCATGATCATGGTGCCGTTTTCAATGCCCTCGTGGTCTCAGATCGCGCCTTGCTTGTTTCCTCGGGTGGATCTACACTCGTGACCAAGTCACTGGCATGGTCTAGGCTTCAACCCTCGAATTTTTCCCCGACGGCGGCGACGGCCGAGGTGCGGGGACATGCGGGACGTGTTTTTCACAAATTACGGGCTTTTTCCACCCTTGTTTTGGCTGCCTTGACCAGTTTCTTCTTTTCAATATCCACAGGGGAAAGGAGAAGTGTGCCTGACTAGAAAGTACTATTTTTATGGGCGACAGGATTAGGAAAGCAATCTGCGGACCAGGATACTGCTTTGCATCTCTCGTCTGTGCGAAAACGGGAAAGAAATATGCCACCCCCATCGCAACGTCGCGTTTACACCGGTGCTTTGGCTCCCATGCTGGTATTCCAAACACAAAGGTAGGGGGCTCTTCGCTTCCTACTTCTCCTTCCTCCTTCTCGTCCTCCACCGCGGTTTCCCCCCTGGCTGACCCTCCCACTACATTCGGGGACCATCGCCGCCTGTACCCGCTGCCCTATAAACGATGCTCTCCTGCCTCTCTCCCGCTCAACGTTCAACACTCGGATCGTTTTCTGGTCTCACGACGCGGGCAGGCTCTTTACATGCAAACTTTTCGCCCCCCGCATCTAAAAGAGGAAGGCGTGAAGGGCGTTGTGTTTCTCGTCCATGATTACGGTGATCACTCGTCCTGGTTCCTAAGGGACCTGGCCGTGGCACTCTGCCAACAGGTAAAATAGAGCGGTGCATCAAGCACGACGGCTTCGGAGGGAAGAGGGCGGGGGAAGAGGGCGGGGGCGTTTCGAAGAAAGGTAACTGAGTGAAGCGATGCATGGCCGCCCTTCCAATAGTCTTTCTTGCGTCCCTCCTCTCCCATCAATCTCCTTTCAGGAGTTTCTGGTTGTCTCTCTGGACCTGGAAGGACATGGACGTAGCGATGGCCTGCGAGGGCGGTTCGATTTTGGGCACGCCGTCATCGATTTGTGCGACCAGTACGGAGCGTTCTCCCTGGAGCAACAAAGCACGCCGTGCTTCCTGCTGGGTGAAGGCTTGGGGGCTGCCCTGGCCTACAAGACGTATCAGATGCAAGGGGGAAGGTTCTGGGACGGGATCATCCTCCTCTCTCCCACCCTGGCCTTCCCCCCCCGCCTGCGTCCGTCGCCCTGGATGCTCAGGTGAGGGGTTGGGCAAGAAAAAGGGTCAGGAGCATCGAGGAGGCGGTGGGGCGTCCCGGTGCCTCACTTCTCCCTCTTTCCTTCCCTCCCTCTTTCCCTCCCTCCCTCCCTTTCTCTTTCCAGGCTTCTCCGTCGGCTCGAACCTCGTATGGGCGACCTCCCCCTGATCCCCTGGGGTCGGCAGTACCTGGACCTGCTCTCCGACTCTGTCGCACGCCAGGAGGTGATGGAGAACCCTTTCTTTATCCAGCATGGCATGCGCGTTGCTACCATCTTTCAGGTCCTGGCGGCCTTGGACGAGCTCTACCTTCACCCGCCCCCGTCCTTTACCCCTGCCTCGCTCGGTCCCTCGCCGCCTTCCTCTGGGGTCCCTCCACGGACATCCCCCCCGTCGCCTGCAGTGTGTACATTCAACGAGATGACCGCTCCTTTCCTGATTTTGCAAGGGGAAGAGGACCGCTTTCATGGTGGGAGGGAGAGGGGAGGGGAAGGCGGGGGGGGGCGGGGGTGGGTGGTGCGGGAATTGCACCGACAGGCGAAGAGCTTGGACAAAACGCTAAAATTCCTCCCCGGCCTGTCACATTGCCTTCTTGGGGAAGGAAGGGGAGAAGGAGGGAGGGAAAGAGGCTTGCAGCAGGTTTCTATGGAGGTGGTGGGGTGGTTGAATGCGCGGTGTTCAAAGATTGTGGGCGGGGGACAGGGCGGGACGGTAGGGGGAGGCGAGGGAGGGAGTGACGGAGGGGAAATGGAAGAAGAAGACTCCTTGGAGCTTGTGCATAGACCGTAGAGGGATGAGTGTGGAGAGAAAGAGATGTTGGGAGGAGGAAAGGGGTGATATGATCATGCCCGACAGGGGCTACAAACCGCGGAGGACGATGGCCTTCTCGATTCCGTGTGATCGATTTCTTTTCTTGCTTTGGATGGTTTACTGTGACCGCCAGGCGACAGGTCCTTTAATGAGTATTCCATAGATTACAACAAAGTCATTATAAATTACAAGGTACTTGCTCAAGAAATTTGAAGCCACGCCGCAGCTGGCTTCCACTATTGAGTCCAACTTTACGTCTACCATGTAGTGCCACACCCCATGACGAGCACTGGGGATGATTTAAAGCGGCTGTGCAGGCATTGCGTGTCCGCACGGCCTCGAATAATACAAATGTGTCCTCGTTTTCCCTCCCTTTTCTCCTGCCCTCCCTTCCCCCTGTCTTCAAGCTTCGCATGCGTCCATTCCCCCCACTTCGGTCCCTTTCTCCCTTTCACCTTCCCCTTCCCGGCGGTATAACTGCACACGTTCCAGCTCTTCCTCTCCATTCCCGCCGGATCCAGCCCCCACCCTTTTTGATGAAAAGGGCGAAGGGGGGACTCGCGCCCCACGAGGTAGATGGAACCCAAACCCGCTTTGGCTGCCACTGGCCCCTATCAAAGAGCCGAGGCCGCCCACCACGCCTTCCAGCATGCTTTCAGAAGCCTGAAGCCACCCCAGGGCTCCTGTTGGCCCCCTTCCTCCTTCCTGCCCTCCTTCCCGTCCTTTTTCTCTCTTGTCACGGGCAACATGCACGATGCCACCGCCTTTCTCGCTTCCCCTAGCAAAGGTGCATCCTCTTCGTGGATCATCTGTACTCCCTTTAAGCTCCTCCTCAATCGAGCAACTTTCCTCCGGGCTTTCTGGCCCCTTTCCTTGCTGAAGCCGCTCATCCAAGGCGGCTTCAGCAGCCACCTCTTCGAGCACTTTCCCTACAGTGGTAACTGCTTGCATCAGACCTTCGCCTGCCGCCAGCATTTCCTTTTTCAAGGTTGTGAGTGGGAAATGCGATGTCGTCTTCCACCCCCATCCTCCCTCTTCCCCTTCTCTTCCCTCCTGTGCTCCATGCTCATGCTTGACCAACGCAGAGGCGACCCTGGCCAGTGTATCGTCAAAAACGGGCAACAGACGCATCAGTTTCACGCACTGGACCAAACATTGTTTTTTAACTTCTACTTTTATTCGCCCCTGAAGTCTTGCCACCTCCACAGGTCCATCTGTCCCCCCTGCGAGGGAGATATGGAAAATAGCGGTACCCTCCATGCTATCAGCATCCACGTCTACCACGAACTTTGAGTCCCTGCTTACCACCCCGACCTCCAAGTCGGCACGGAAGAAGCGACGCTGTATTGTTTCGAGCATATCCGCGAACAAAATTTGATTCGCGAAGCGCCACGTGAGATTTTGAGCGCATATCGCATGAATAGCCCTAATAGATGCTGGATCATCTTCAGCAAGTACATATAATTTTGGCACCGGAAACTCGTTGCCCTCGGTCGGATTCGATACGGAAAAGTCCACTGGACCATGTTGATAATTCGAGTCTTTCCTCGAGTTCCTCTGATATGACTCCACAATCATGTCATCCTGATACGTGTGGTGACGGTCAGGGGCCCCAGAGCTCCTCACGAGCTTATACGACATACGTGTAAGCTCGTGATCCAATGTGTATTGAGCCATGTGGGGTTTATCGGTGAAGTACTCAATGAAATCTTTGTAATGCTTTTTGGCCAAGTCGCTTTCGATCTCCTGCAAGATGTAAGGATCTGCCAAGTCTTGGATGTATTTCTGAAGCTGCCCTTGGAAAAACTTAACACGAGCCTCATCAAGCGTCGGTTGAAGTGGGCTGGAAGAACAGTCACTCGTACTGCTTAGGATTGGCTCCTTTGTAGTCTCCCAATCATCCCATTCGTCTTCCTCTGTAACATTCATGCAGTTCGAATCGGGAGCCATCTTTTCGTCTGATGAAGGATGGGGCGCTACGAAGACTGCGCACTCCTCCAACAGCGAATCTAAACCGTCTTTGTGATCGCAGTCTTTTCCAGTGCGATTTTTATGGCTCATGGGTGGTGTTTAGAAACCCTGTGTTCATTGGCAGTCAAATTTTATGCATGAGATGCGTAATGACAAGCTCCTTGCGGCGGCCGTTAAATTTCAAACCTCTCAGTCCGAGAAACGTTTTTCTTCGGTAGTAAGATTTCAGCGGGGCTGTCAAAGAAGTTTTGGCTTGTAATCATACGCCTTAGAAATTATGTATACTTATTTTTAATATTACCGATGTGAAGATTTTGAACGTCTCGCATATTTTTGGCACATCAATGCGCGGAAAAGCTACTTTCATGGAACGTGAGGTAAGAGAGACTCCTCTATCTTTGGTATCTCTAGCTTCTACGGAGCCTGTGCCATGATTCGCTCGCAGATTTTTTTGACTTGTTTATCCTTAAAGATACCGTTCACTTCTGGAAAGTGGCCTTCGCAAAGATTGTCGTGGTCGCTACATGCGCAAGAGCGATAAGTAATCACTAGTGGCTTTTCACGCACCTCTGCCGCAACAGGAAAGAATTTATCTGTGCATACCTATCCTTCCAAAGATATTTGTGACATATTTCTTTCTTCTCATTGTACACGTCATGTTTACCATCAAACCATGCAAATTTTTTTTTCCAGACGGGACTCCCTGCAATGAATTCTTTAAGCATTGTCCTCCTTCCCGTCTTCTACCACCTTGATCCCCTCTCTTGGCTTAATGCGTCCCCTTTTGTACAATGCAAGCAAAGAGGCGCGTAATGTTCCAAGTCGGATGGGTTTAGTCACGAAATCATCGGCGCCGTGCCGGTAACACCGGTTGCGCTCTCCATCCATGGCCACGGCCGTTACGACGACCACAGGCATGCCCGCAATGCGGGGAGAAGGATGAGAGCGTATGCGAGTCAACACTGTGACTCCATGCGCATCGGGGAGTTCAATATCTGACAGTACACATAGAAGGGAAATGAATAAAAAGGCTAAAATGAGCGTGTGGAAATCAGAGCAGTAGACAGAGGTGCAGGTGAGGGACACGCATGCACAAAACCAAAATGTGGAGGCAAAGAAAGCCGAGAAAGCTGTTCTTGGACCCCGGACGTACCGAGCAGGGCCACGTCGAAATGACCGGGATGTCGTGAAAGCATCTCCAGGGCCCCAAAAGCAGTTTCTACGAATTGAACCGAATGGGAGTCTTCTCGAAGCATTCCCCCCAGGACCATTTGGTTGGGCAACAAGTCTTCCACAGCCATGATCCTCAGACCGTGTAACCGTCGGTTTCGATGCAGGGGCTGTTGGAAAGGAGAAGGCGCCTCCATCAGAGGGGAAACTCCCACCGCGCTGGTTCTCAAGTCGCCCTCAAGCAAAGTGGGTGCGGGAGACGAGAGCGCTGGTGGAGTGTCCCTGTCAGGATCTGTCGCCCGCGCTGGGTCCAGGGGCCGGGTCGAGGCACGGGCAGGAGGTCGCACGCCGGCGGGGTCCTGGCCATTGCCCTCGGGACCCTGCGTCGTCCCCGCCGGCGACCCGGCCCGCTTAGCCCGAGGCCTCCTCCGCAGTTGTCGCCCGTTCTGTGCGCTGTGTTTCCCCTCCTCCTCCTCCAAGACCTTGACAGGTAGATCCACCGTGAACAGGCTGCCCACCCCCACCTCACTCACGACCTCGATGGAGCCCTTCATCAGATCCACCAGCTCCTTGGTGATCGCCAGCCCTAACCCATGGCCTTTCTCCCCCCCCGACAGCTGATTACCGGAGTAGAAGCAGTTGAAAATCTGGTTTTGCGTGCTCTTGGGAATCCCGATCCCGTCGTCCTCCACTTCTAAACGAAGCCATATCACACGATGACTCCGTCGCCTCCCACTCTTCCCTATACCCTTGCCCTCAGCCACCCTCTTCTCCTTCTTGGGGGACCCTATCTTAGGGCTGGTTTTCTCGTTGCCTGGACCCTTCTTGTGACGCACTGCATCATTTCCGATCCTTTCCTCCCCCGGCACCTCCCCGGGCTCCTTCCCGCCGCCAGCCCCCCCATGCTTGTCCACACGCACGCCTTTCTCCTCCACCTCTAGGACCCCTTTCCCTTCCCGTTCCTCCCTCCCCCTCGCCTCCCTGGCCTCTCTGGAGTTCATTAATACGCCTTTGCCACCTTTTTTCCCCCTTCCTTTCACCTGCCGGAGCCGGAGCACAATCCTTCCCCCTGTCCCGGTCGATTTGGCGGCATTGCTCGACAAATTCATGACCAACTGGGAGAAGCGAATCTTGTCCAGAAAGACGTAGCTAGGACGGAGGGAGAAGAGGGGGTCAAAGGGGGGAAAGAAGAGGGAGGCGGTGGGAGGGGAGTGATAGGGCGAGGACGACATGGAGAAACAGGTGACTTCTCTTACCCCCCGCGCGTTCGAAACCAGACCTCAACCCTCCTTCCTCCCTCCCTCCCGTCCTCCCTCCCTCCTTCCCTCCCTCCCAGCCCCGGGTCCTCCCCTGCCTACCGTGGGAGCGAGGGATCCTGAACCCGTTCCAGCCGGCGCTGGACTCTTGTCGGTAATGACTTGGACGAGGTCGCACATGGTGATGAAGTACGCGTGAATGTCGACCAGGGATTCGTCGATCTGCAGCCGTTGGGAAGAGAGGCGGAACAGCTCCAGGATGTCGTCCACAATCCTGCGGGGGGGGGCAACGGGCCACGGGGAGAGGGCGTGAGGGTCCGCAATGCCTCCTCCTTCGGAAAGAAGAAACCAACGAAGGCCCCTCCCGCGGGAACCCATTCTTTCCCCCCCGACCCTTTCCTATGCCAATCCCTTCCTTCTCCCCTTTTGCAAGCCAGGAGGGCAGCAGGCTTGTTCGCCTATGCGTCGGACACTGGACGACTCACCTGAGAAGACTCTCGCCACTCGTAATGATGTAACCGATGCGTTCTTGCACGTAGGGGGGCAGGTCTTGGCGTTTGATTTCCTCGGCAAATCCCTACAAAACGGAAGAGCCAGATAGAAGGGAGAGAAAAGGACCGGGCGATATGAGCAAAGAAGGACATGATCGCGCATTCCACACCCTCTTTCTCCCACCGCCCAGGCGCCTGCCCGACAAGAAGGGAGAAGATAAGTCGATGGAGATGACCCTACGAGCAGCCCACGGTTCCACCACGCCAATCCTGGCCTCGGTAACCTTCCTCATGCTTACCAGAATGATGTTGAGAGGCGTCCGAAACTCGTATGATACCCGGGCGAAGAATTCGGTCTTGGCGCTGAGGGCCCGCTGCGCCTCCAGTTTGGCCTGCTGGAGCTCCCTGCCCTGCACCAAAAGCTGGAAATTTCTGATAAAAGGAAGGGGGCAGGGGGGGTAGGGGAAAAGGAAGCACGTGCTTACTGTCGTCCTTCTATCGAGCGTAGAGTTCGCGGTCTCCTTACTGGCCCCTCCCCTCCTCTTCCCCTCCGTTCCCCACGCCTCCGGCGCCCGTCACCGGTTCCCCTACCCCGTGCTTGCTCGCCCTCCTTTCCTCCCTCGTACCTTTTCTCCAACAAACTCAAGCCATCCTGCTTCTCCGCCAGCGCCACGGCCAGAAAGGTCATGCTCCAGGTGATCAAAACCACGACGATCGGGCCCAGGAGGAGGTCGATCTGGTAGAAAATGTCCGTGAGCCGGTCCCCCCTGTCCAGCTGGCCATAGGTGACGGTAAAGATCCCCGCCGCGGCCACGATCAGGGCCACGCATGAGCCGAACTGGCCGAAACGGAAGGTGACGAAGCCGAGCAGGGGGATCATCAACCGGGAGACGATCCGGGGCCCCAAGTGATCCCGTGGGGACGTGGAGGAGGTGGCCACGGCGTGCGCCACCATGTAGGTGACGACCAGCACGCCCGCATACTCCACCACACGTAGGTACAACCAGATCCCCCCGGCACGGAGCCGAGCCTGCAGGTACACGGCCAGGTCCCTCCATCGGTAGGTGTCCTTAGTGGCCTGCGCGATCGTGTACCGGAAGACGAGCACCGCGTAGACGGTAAAATAGGTGGCGAAGAAATCACCCAAGAGCCAGGCGACCACCAGCTGCCGCCCCCCCATCCAGGTGATGTTGTTGGAGGGGAGGAGGACGATGATACCCCCGTTAACCAGGGAGAAGGCGGGGGTGATGAGGAGGACGTAGAGCACCAGGTATCGCACAAAGGTGGACGTCCGGACGATGTGGATGCTCCCTGCCACCAACGGTCGAAGCAGAAGCGTGCCCAGGGAGATGTTGAGCAGGTCCACCACGATGATGATGAAGGCGGCCAAGCTGTCTCGGGAGATACGCCCGTGTCCGAGACAGACCGCGGTCAGTTCCACGCCGACGATGGCGGTGAACGTGTAGGGCCAGCAGGCCCGGGCTTGGATGCAGAGGAGGAGGGTGGAGGCAGGCGTGAGGAACCAGAGGAGGACGACCCCCCCGGATAGGACAATGTGGGCACTGGCGACCACGGCCGCGGTTAGAATTAGGGAGGACCACAGGGCCGTCAAAAGGAACGACCAGTGAAAAGGCTTGCACACGGGATCTCCCGGCAGGTCCCCCAGGCTTTGACCGAAATGGGCGCGTATCCGCTCGCGCATGTCCGGATCGTACATCCTCCTCCAGGCATGGGTGCATCGAGTCAGCAAGGTCCGGGGGGGAGGGGGGGTAGACTCCACTACCATGCCGACCTGCCTGTCTTTTCCACGGCCTCGTTTCTTCTTGGCCACCACGTCCGTCACCATATCTTTCTCTGGACAGCTCCCGTCGCTTCGGTGGGCAAGCGCCTCCCCTTCCTTTGCTTTGGCGGCCATAGACACCGCAGAGCTGATCTCAGACGGAATATTCTCAGCCCTGCTCTGTGCGAGCGTCAATCTTGATAAACGCCCTTTGGATGCAGTACTTCAAATAACTTCTTCAATACTTGGCCGGCTCGAACGTCCCTCCATGGCAACAGGCAGATTTTGCGTCTTACTCTATTTGCCTTTTTTGAGGAGGGGGAGGGGTAGAGTGGGCTATACGCATGGCATTCGCTTGTCATGACACTCGCCTCCAACTTCAAAATGTGCCAGGTGCACCACCACTAATATTTCAGACACCAGAAATACGCAGGTACGGACGATGGAGTAAGAAGCAGGCCAGATCGTGCCAGCCGTGTTATTCCTAAGACATGTCTTTCGCCGCTCCATGCCCGCCGCCTCAAATTTTCCTCATACTTCAACTGGCTTGACAGACCGGAATAAAGCCTGGTGAATTTTCGTGCTCCGGCACGCGAGCACGGACGTTTTTTCGTGCCTTTTCTTTATCTACCCTGAACACTTCCGATGCTATCTAGCTGAAAATAATTATCTGGCACGCCTTCTCCACCGTTAGTGCGTCGGTTGCCCACATCGCCGCCAATTCCAAGCTCTTCTCAGAGACCGGACATGTCCCTCAAAACAATCTCACCGCATGGTTATAGGTCAAAAATGACCCGACAAGAACAAACAAGTCGCCAAGTGCTTGAGCTTTTGCATGCAGTGTCGAAAAGTGCTTTTTCTGGCGTCCTTTTGCGCAGAGATATCGAACCCAACGCCACAGAGCTTCAAAATGTCAAAGCCCTAAAAATAGGACCCGGGCCACGAGTTCGCCTTCGACTACGCGTGCCCTCCCACCTGTGTGATAATTACGATAATAATCATTGTTTGTTGGACGCAGGCGCCGTCACGGCGTGGTTTGACGAAGTCTCCTCGTGGGCGTTTGTGTCCGCGGACGGACGGCATCGACCCGGTGTAAGCGTCAGTTTGAACACGACCGTGCTCTCCTGGGTGCCTGTGGGAACGGAAGTGGAGATTCAATCGCATTGTAAAAAAATAGGGGAGACATTGGGTTTTGCCGACATGATGCTTCTGGACGTAGCAACGGGTAAAGAGGTGCGTACAGAGTTGGGGGAAAGGACGCGAGAAGACTCACGTCTCGGCTCATATGAGTACGGAGTTTGGGAATATCTGGATATCGTACGCTACGCACCTTGTTTGTATCGTTAGATTTTTTTCGTGTCCTTACTTTCTGACCTCCGTTATCGTCCACGACCTTCACTGCTATCCTTCAGCTCGCTCACGGTCGACACGTCAAGTTCTTGAAAATGGGCACCGCTTGGACGGTGGCCATGCATGCCTGGGCCTTCCCGCTCACGTACCTGATGGCCTCCGCCGTCCTTCTACCTAGCGTGCGCCAAAGGACGCAGAAAAGCTCTTCTTTCCCACCTGAGATGGCACCTTCACCCGACCTGCCGAGAACGGAACCAGGATCCGCCGGTACGCACAGGATGGGGGCGGTATTCGGCGCGTTCAAGGCATATTTTTCGCATCCATATTCACTCACTTCCCTCCCGTGACTCTTTTTTACCATTCACGTCCCGCAGTAAACATAAACCGTCTCCTGGCGCTGGATAATTTCCATGTGTACGAGCCTGCAGGAGCCGCTTCCCCTCCTTTGGCGTTTCCGGCGTCCGTGCCTCTAACAATGGAAGCGTCGGCTTCTTTCAGAGTCATTCCGCAGGTTTGCAATAGCTTCGGTTCTCTCCATGGTGGGGCCGCCGCAATTTTGGCTGAGCGCGCTGCTCTTGCCTTGTATCACCAAGCCGCTCGGTGGGCCGGAGAGAGGAGCCAGCACGCTTTGCCGCGTGTTCGTTCTTTGAGTATCGATTACATGTCTCCATGCACGAAAAATACGGAATTGCTTCTGCTCGTGCGAGGAATGCGTGTGGAACGTGGAGCTGGGGAGGGAGACAAACATTCTCCCTCCCGAAGCTTGTTTCCTCCTTTAGATGTGGCACCCCATCCCCAGGGAAACCTTATACCGATGTCCTATCAGGTGTTGTTTACACGCAAGAAGGACGGGCGGTATCTGACGCAATGCCACGTTTTATTGGATTCTCAAGGCGACGCCTGGCATCATCAACGACAAAGCAGAGGTGAAGGGAACAGGGCCCGCTTGTGAAAACAAAAACTGGTCAGAAATGGAAAATATCCATATCTAAAGCCTTATTTGAGATGTTGAAGTGTACAAAGAATACAAGTAACGCGTGTCAAATCTTTATAAAAAGTCCAAGCTTCCTGCATGCCTACATAAGAAAACCGCTCGCGCTCACTGCTAAAAAGTAAATGTAAACAAACCCGCCCACGAGAACAATTACATCACACACATCTGGCTCTATAAGGATGCTATGGATAGGTACAGGCTTGTCTCCTGAAAAACGCAAACGCATGCAAGAAAACTTGAGAAAGTAAGGAATGCCTTCCATCATTTCCTATCGCAGAAGGCAGCTAGCTACCCGGAAGAGCGGAGGGCAGAATCCTTCACCATGGCTTTATTACTTGCCATTTCAGCCAATTCCTTTCCATGCATGAGATGGCCTTTGGTACTACACGCTTGTGACGACGGTGCCATAGTGGATGACACGGAAGAAGCGACAGCGAATGGTACTTCACGAATTTAAAGCCTTGGAAAGGCTTGCATTCCCATCCCCACCCCTCATAGCCCCCCGTTACTATCAGTGGCAGCCTGCACGTACACATCTCACTCCTTCCCACGGACTAGCAAGGGCTGCGACCAGGATCGCATTGGATCGCTCTCTGGTCAGAGAGGCTAATGTACAGACGGCTCTCACGACTAACCTCGTATAACTTGAATTTATAACATCCCGTTTCCATAGCAGGAGCAGCCTTACTTGAGGCAGGGTAGGAATTGCAGTGCAGCCCATCCTAGTGCGATTCGAGCTATTCAAGGCGAGAGGTATAATCAAAACACCATGCATTTATCCAATCTTCAGCCTGGCCTCGCCTCCTCCATGGCAATTTCATCCGCCTCCTCCCATGGCCGTAGAAGACAGCGCGTTGCTGTAGCTTCATCTCTCCTAGTTCTCGCCGCTGCTGCTGTGTCGACGAGCACAACTCAAGCATTCATCCTGCCAATTCCTCCCTCTGCGAAATCTTCTCCTTCCTTCTCGTCTTCTGCCCCGCGCTTTGCTCGTCCTAATGCCGTGGTATCGGGGAAGAGGGTCCTTCGCATGGCTACTACTTTAACCGATGCGAGCAGCAGCGACGTGATCTCTCCCGCGGAGCTTGACGTGGTTAGACCGGTCCCCACGCGCCACGACCGAGAAACTGGTCGCGACCCCATGCGTGTCAAAATATTCGACACGACGCTCCGCGACGGCGAGCAAAGCCCCGGGTGCACCATGACGGCGGAAGAAAAACTGCAGGTACGCCATGAATCAGTGCGGCTTGCGTCGCCAACCTCGGTTGTTGGATCTGGCCGTGACAATGGGTCGTGGACGGGAAACTCGCTTGCATGTATAATTTGCTGTTTAAAGGATTGAAACCGCTCATCTTTCTCTTTCCCCCTCCCTTCCCTTTCTTCCCTTCCTCCCTCCGTCCCTCCCCCTTCTCCATCCCCTGGTTTGTCCACCACTCAGGTAGCAAAACAGCTTGCCAAGCTAGGGGTAGACGTGATCGAGGCCGGTTTTCCCATCGCCAGTACCGGAGACTTCGATGCGGTCCGGCGGATCGCGGAATCGGTCGGTAACATGGAGAACCCCCCCATTATTTGCGGTCTGGCGCGCGCTTTGAAAAAGGACATTGAGACCTGCTGGAACGCGGTCAAGTACGCTGCCTTTCCGCGTATCCACACCTTCATCGCCACCAGCGACATCCACATGCTCCACAAGCTCAAGAAAAGCCGAGAGGAGGTGCGTGTCCGGCCGTGGAAGGGGGGGGGGGGGGGGCGTTGTCAACATAGCCGGAGGAAGGACTTTGGCTAGCTCCTTGCTGCCTTGTGGCCGTGGGCCTCGGTCGTCTCCCACCTCTGTCGTCCCTGCCTCCCATCCACCTCCCCTTCGCTTGTTTGCCTCCACTTCAGGTGTTGGGTATCACGCGGGAGATGGTCACCTATGCCCGGTCTCTGTGTGAGGACGTGGAATTCTCCGCGGAAGACGCCCTTCGCTCCGACCCCGCGTTTCTTTACCAAGTGTACTCGGTGGCGGTGGAGGCGGTAAGAAAGGGGGCCTCGGGCGGCTTTGTCTTGGGGGGTTGGCTGGAAGAAGACACGGAAAGGAAAGGTCATGGGAAACTAAGAAAGGATTCGGATAGGACACAAACCGAAAAAGCTCCCCGTTGCACTTTGGGCCGCAGTCCTTTCGCCCCAGCTGCATGCCTTTCGACAGCCCATCCTGTGTGACATTATCACAAATACAAGCCCCCCGGTGCGAGCAACGTATGGGCGCGTTGGCCCGCCCAGAGCGTGTCGAAACATAGCTACCCGGATGTGTGCCTGGACACCGACGATACTCCTCCTCTCTTCCCCCCCCCCCCCCTCGCCAAGGGCGCTACTACCTTGAATGTCCCGGACACAGTGGGGTACACCACGCCCAGTGAATTCAAAGCCTTGATTCGCGGCCTCCGCGCCAACGTCAAGGGCGTGGAGGGGGTGACCATCTCCGTCCACGGGTGCGTCCTCGTTGCTTTCCTCCTTCCCTCCCTCGGTCAGCCTCCAGCGTGGTGTCACCACTCACCACACCTCTCTCCCCCTTCCTCTCCTCCCTCCTAGCCACGACGACTTGGGCATGGCCGTGGCGAATTTCATGGCGGCCATCGAGGGGGGGGGCGTCGACAGGTCGAGTGCACCATCAACGGTATCGGAGAGCGGGCGGGCAATGCGGCCTTGGAGGAGATTGTCATGGCCTTGCACGTCCGCAAGTCCTTCTACAACCCTCGGTAAGGGGGCGGGGAGACATAGTGCGGCCCTTCCCTCCCTCCCTCCCTCCCTCCCGCCCTCCCTCCCCCCCCGGC